CCCCCCCCCGCCCCTGGGGTTTCCACGAGTGGCATAAAACCATCGGGGGGGGGGGAGGCAACTGGAGACTTAACAGTGGTTTTTCATTTTTGCCGCACAGATACAAATGCCCCCGAGGCTGCTGCGGACCGAGCCGCGCCGGGACTCAGGTGGGAAGTGTGCCCCGCGGAGGTGCGGCCGGGCCGGGCCGGGCCGGGCCCCTCCACAGACTCAGAAACTAGATCAAGTGTGTCAAGGGCTCGCTCCACGGGACCCCTGGGTCGGCGAGTGGGGGCGGGAGAGCTGCCCCTCCCACGCGCGCTCCAGCAGCCGCGGGGGCAAACAGCGGAGCCCGTCCCGCCCTCGGTGGCTTTAAGCGGGAGCCTTTTAATTAGCGAGGACCCTCCGCCAGGGCTTTCCCACCTGGCCGCAAAGCGGGGCTCGGGTCGGGGCAAACGCCGGCGGAGAAACCCGCGGGATCTTTGCTCCCGCCGCCTTTAATTCACGTCTGAAAAAAAAAAAAAGAAAAAGAAAAAAAAGCAGCCCAAAAACTCAAAAGCGGGTGCGGGTGCGGGTCCAGGGGCCGGGCTCCTTCCCGCACCCTCCTGAAACCGCTCCTGCCTCCGCAAGCGGCCCCGCTCCGGGGTCCCCTGCGCTGCGCCTTGCCGCCGGCCGAAAGAGGAAAAGGGCCCGCTGCCCAGGGCAGGTGCCCCTCGCCCCGCCGGTGCCCGGCGCGCTGGGCCGCTCCCCGGAGCCGGGCTGGGGGGTGTCTCCCTACGGGAATGATGCATTTCTACCAAAAAAAAAACCCAGCCCCAAAACAGACAAAAAAGAAGTGGCGTCAAACAGCCGGCGGCAGGTCACGGGGCAGCTCCGGGAGCCGCCGGCCCCCGCTGATTGAGATGTTTCTCCCCAGAATCGGTGCCGGAGACGCGGATCTGGCGCGGGCGGGAGCCGAGGCGGGGGTCTGCAATGTTAAGCTGGAAACCCGGAGCGTCCCCGTCCGCAGGGGAGGGAAAGCGGCGTGGGATCCGGAGTATATAAAACGGGCTCCAAATTTATCCGCCGCTGATTCATTGTTTGAACAGGTTGAAAGTCTGATAATGAGGTTTTTAAGAGCCCTAAACAAACAAGCTCTCTCTAAACCTGATTAGCCTGTCCGGGGTGGGAAGAGGGCAGGGAAAGTGGTCGGGGAAGATTGTTTGACTTCCAGACGATGAGTGCCTTCCCCGTATCTGCATGCACACGCATCCATCTATCAATCAAGCTTTTTATTGGGTGTCACCAGCTGGGGTGCTGGGAAGAGAGAGCGCGTGTTAAATGATGCCATTAGACTGTAGTGCAACAAGCAAAGACAAGGTAATTGGCAGCAATTCGCAGCCCCAGTCCGGTGACCTGTTAATCTGTTGCCACTAGCGTTGCACCGGGGGAAACAAACCTGCACCGTGTAGAAACAGTCTCTCCCTTATCTCAGGCCTGGCCAGCTTGTTAATGTTCAACTTGACAAGAGAGAAGAGCTGCTAGGTGGGAACCTGTCTCCATTCAATCAGGCTAACATGCTAATTGCTGAGGGTAATTTATGGCCCCCTGTTTAATTTGTTCTCTCGCCTTTTTTGGATCAGCCCAGGCTTTGGCATCAGGGGGTTGCAAAGGAGAAGCTGAGGGTCTCTGTGGAGCAGGAACCCCCTTCAGCATCTCTCCATTTGTGCTTTCCCAGCCAATATGCTTGTGCAATCAGAAAGTTTCCAAGGTACTCTAGGCCAGTACCCCTACACGGTGCCTCCAAAAAACTTGGCTAGCATCACGCTTTTTCCTTCATTCATAATAAAGTGTCTAGCTAGTTCCCGTCCAACTTACACAGGCAGGGGACGGCTTGGGTGAAGGGCTGCGCACAATGCCCAGGTTCCTTGCCAATGGCGCACAATGCCTGTAGGTGTAACAGCAAACATAAAGAGGCCAGAAGCCACTGTTTAAAAAACAATCGCTTCAGGGGTTACTTGGTCTCCAAAAGAAGAGCTAGTCTGTGGCGTGGCATCGCAGACATCCGCACGGGTACCTGAGAAACAACCTCCAGAAAGAACTGAAATAACTTCCCCCCAGTCTCACTGGAAGGAGACACAACATGCTACCAAGGGAAGGTTTTGCAGCAGTAAACCAGGGAGAGGAAGTCCGGCTCTGTTTGTGTTTTGTTATACCCAGCCTCCCTGGATTTTTACACAGTAAAGATGATGTCTTGTTTGCAATGCAGACAGGCCCTGGACTGTGGCCCTTGCTCAGGAGCTTCCACTGCCTGGGAAATCACCACTGGGGAACATAAAGAGGGTCAGGAGTGCTTAATGCCATTCGCAGACGTTTGGATCAGAGTTGTTCCTTGTTCCAGGCACCCACAGCCTGAACGAAGAACATCTATTTGGTTTGGGGGCCAAGTCTATGAACAAATGACACAGATGGAATTGATTGTTTCTATATTTGTTGCATATAATTGAACAGCAAAACTACTCAGCTTCTTAGGATGGTTAGTGACATGTTAGAAGGCCCAAATATGATGGGGGGAGGGAAGGCTGCCCTTTTGTGCCATAAAATAATTGATGGCAATATGAACAGCTGTGGTTTCCACAAGGCCTCTTCTTTAATAACACAGTACTGGGAATCCTTCTCAGAGTCCAACAGCAGCAACCAAATAAATACAAGGATTAAAAATATCTATTGCTTGAAAGGGTACATTAAATGTTTTTGAAAGTTTTTACTAACTCCATCTAATGAAGCTATTTTAAGTCACCGATGGCCCTGAAACTGTCCTTCATCTAAGAAATAATTGCCTATTTTTTTTTAGATAATTTAAGTATTTTCAATAGAAATGTGTACAGTGCTTCAATTAAAACCTGAGAAAACGTATATGCAATTAAAAGCAACCGTCCTCATAATGTTTTCATTTTGATGACTGCAAAAAGAGCCATGCTTGTGTGTACACAGCCCTGTACCTGCCAGCGTCAGAGTGGTTTGCTGTTACAGCGGGGTTGCACTAAATTACACTTTCTTTCCTATTCATTGTCACCATTTTTAAAGAACTTTAGTCCAAAACACTATTTTTAACTGGAACTTTATTCCAAATGTTTCAAACTTCCTATTCTGTTCAAAATCAAAAGAAAAAAAATGCAGCCTATGATCTTTTCAAGGAAATCTTGCTGCAAACGAAACAGTAAACAATATGTACTGAGATGCACTGAAGAAGCTTGCTGGCTTTCTTTTCCTTTTCTTAACGATTTAATGAGGCAACCTGACTGCTGTAGTAAACCTTTTGTCTCTATGTCGGGTTCCACTATAAGTGACCTTGCGACATCGCAGTGCCACTGGCAACCTTTTGGGTAATGGTGTATCGGACGTACCACCGGGGAGGTTAAATTTCTTGCTCGCCATTATTACCTCTCACTCCTAAATTCCTATTGCTATTTCTACTTTACAGTTCATTTTGCTTTTTCCCTGGCTGCCCAGAGACATGCTGTGCATTCTGCAGAGGGACTTGAATATTTTCTGAATCATGGAAACAGTGCTAACAATTACGCATCTCTTGGCCAGTCTCCAGTTAAGGAGACCTGCCATCAGAGACAAATCACTGACCATTTGACCACGTCATGAGCATATTCATGGCTTAATGAGACTGTCCTTGCTTACCAGCCCTCCTGTTTTGGCCCATATGAGCACCCCATGTGTCGCGAAGACCCAACATAAAGGATATATTGGATTTTTTCCCCCTATAAATACAAGTTTCCAAAATCTTGGTATTCTGTTTATTTTTCAGGCAATTTTTTTTAGTAATGAAAGAAAGGGGATGGATGACATGAAATGGGTGTGGGATGTAGGCTGCTTTGAACTCAGATGAGAGACCTTCCTTGAAATGAAGTACAGCTGAGAGTTATGACTGCAGGTCTGTGAAAACCAAGGGAATGGCAGAGCTCTTCTCTGAGAACCAAGCCAATAACCAAAAGGAAGATCTTGATCAGACCCAGGCTATTAAAGCACCCAACTGGAAAGCTAGTTATGGGCACATTGAGGAATCATAGCAATGGCAGGATCGCTTAGGGCATAGAATAAACATGTAAGACAGCGTTATTTGGCACACGTAAGAATGCAAATGTCAGTCAAAGCCCACGGTCATCCAGAAAACAGAAACCTCATAGGTGGTGGCCTCGGTTTCAGGGAGAGAATTTGCCCCTGCTAGGGGAGGAGGATTGTGTGTGTGTGACATGTCTTCACAAGAATTCATGCTTGTTAGTATGTTTGAAATGTTTCTTCAAAGTACTTTTGTGCTAACATTGCATAGTCACGGGCTCTAGAAAATGTATACTATACTTAGATGCATTGTACAGTTAAGTGGAACCAAGCCTTCTAGTTCCCAAACAAGCTATACCTGTGCAAGGGTTTAGCAAGCTACACAACTCTGTGGGAGCTGGTTGATCATAGGCAGGACAACCAGCACTTTTGTCCTATTTTCTAGAAGGGATGTGGCACAATTTCCTCCTTGCAGTTGATTTATGCCCATCCCAGGTCCTAGCTTAGAGGTGATATGAAATGGCCCAAATGTTTTGCCCCCCCTTTACATCAGGAACAAGAGACTATTTCAGCTGACTTGCCATGCCTGAATGTAATTTGAGGTTGCATCCACAGGTGTATTAGATGTAACACATGATGGGCGCGTCTACATGTGCCCCTGTGACACAGTAAAAGCCTGTACTGTGCCACGCTGGTGGCACGTGGTTATTTTTAGCTGCTACATTACCACGCTTGAGCAAGGGAGCACATTGCTACGGCAATGTAGCTGCAGCATCATGGGTTGTGCCTGCCAACGCTAAGTCGCCGTAGCATCTAGTGTAGAAGTGCCCAATCAGTGCTACTGCCAGTCTATTCAGCAATGGTTAGGCCTTATTTAATGTATTGTGCGCAGTTCCCCATTTTACAAAGGATGTGGGGAAGCTGGAGAGGGTCCAGAAATAAGTGCCAAATATGATGAAGGGGTAGGAAGACAAGGTTGAGAGAACAAGTGTTTAGCTTGGAGAAAAGGAGATTAAGGGTGGGCATTATTGCTTTGAAATCTTTGAAGGTTTCCATAAAGAAGAACAATTGTTCGTCCGTGCTGCAGAGGGCAGGGCATGAAGCAACTGCTTTAAATTGTAACAAAACAGATTGCAATTAGACCTCAGGAAGAATGTCCTTTTTCCTTTCTTTTTGATCATCACTAATACACTGCACCAGATTGCCTAGGGAAGTAGTGTTTCTCTTGTTGGAGGTTTTCAAGAAGAAGCTGGATAAGCTTTGGTCAGGGATGATCTAGGAGCGTTCGACCAGATGACCCTTGAGGTCTTTTTCAATCCTATGATTCTACAAACTCTGAAGTGCAGAGGCAATGGAGATCCACGCCTTCCACCAGTTGCAAATGTGGCCCTGTCTTTTTCCTAACAGCCAAAGAGGAATTGTTTTCCATCAACTTTGACAAAAACATTATTTTAGAAAGAGACTGAATAATAGATTCACAGAAAAACCGGCATGGGAGGGACCTCAAGAGGTTACCCAGTCCAAACTGCTACTTACAACAGGATCATCCCTGACTAAACCACCACAGATGAATATTTGTCTAACCTGTTCTTAAGAACATCTAATGATGGAGATTTCACAGCCTCTCTAGATAAACTGTTGCAGTGCTTAACAACTCTCACAGTGAGACAGTTTTTCCTAATAGCCAGCCTAAATCCCCTGTATTGTAATTTAAGCCTTTTATTTGTTGTCTTGTCCCATACACATCTTTTTGTTCTGTTTGTACACTACAACGTACAAGGTCCAGGTACTATGATACAAAAAAATGAGGACTCACAATACTATTTATAAGAGGAGTTACAAAACTTTACTATTATTTGTGTGTTGATCTATACAGGGGTCGAATTTTAGTCTTAGTTATTCTGATATAAGAGAGCTCAGGATTGGTCCCTACATCCCTCAGATCTATCACCAATGACTATTTCTAATATACTCATCATGGAAGTATTTTGGCACCGTGTGGTTGGACTCTAGCACAACTAAAATAGCAAAACATTATGCTAAACAAACAGTTTGATTTATAGATTTGTGGCAAGAACAGTTCAGTTTTTCAGGGTGTTCAAATTAATTACCATTCTCTTGTGGGGAGAGGAAAATGCTATTGTTTCCCTAACCACATGCTTTCCAATATAAAATAAACTCTTGATGTTGTGAATGTGTGGCTTAATTATCCTAAACGGTTGCTTTTGAAAGTTGTCTATTGACCTGTTTCTACATTTCACAGGCATTGAGTGTCATATTTCTCAGGAGTGTTGTATCTACCTGTAGTTAGCAAGAAATAGATACCGGGTGAATTTTAACACTGGTAAAATAAGAATGCTACTTGCTGCATGCAGCATTCCCAAGTGCAATGCGTGAGTGAGGCTGCAAGGACAGTTTATACAGCAAAGTGAATTGCAACATCACATGTACAGGTAATTCAGATCATCATTACAAGCAGGCAGATGTCAGGGTATAACGTTACAAGGCAAGTCCTTACATGTGTATGCTATACAACACAACATAGAACAATTATGGAAAAATATACTTGTTTGGCCCACTGGAGGCTAAAACCCACCATCAGGTTTTAGGTAGGGCTTCTCTACAGATTTCACCTTTTTCTGTCTCCTTGGTGTGCAGGACAGACTAACGCTGGCCGACTTAGCGTTCTTTCTACCTACGGTGATGTGTAACTTATACCACCTTCCACATCATCTCTGCATCTGGCCCCGTGCTTGTAATGTATCGGTTTTATAGGCACTCTAGTTGCCGTTAAATAGGGTTGGGTTTCAGAAAAAGGAGATGGTGAGACTGTCTTGGCTCCATTCATTTCAGTGCTTAAATGGAAACAAAACTGGACCCAGTGAATGTGACAACTGTGACGAGAATGACAACAGTGTGTGTTCTTTCATGTCCTTGAGTCAGCAACGAAAGCTGGTTTCAGTCGCCTTTAACCACACATAATAAAGAACTCCACTTGCATCATGCTGCATTGCTTAAGGGCTCATAGATGCCAATGGGAGTTTTGCCTGAGTACCAGGCAGATACTAGGTCCTACTTTGGTACTGTGCCTTCTTCACACATTATAACCCAAAACACCTTACAGGGTTAAGTATCAGCATTAACTAACAAGGGCAGGAGAGAGAAACTAAGAAGGAAGGCAAAGAAAGACATAGGTGGATAGGGGCAGCTTGCTTACTTCTTGTACGTAAGAGTTATCTGTGCTTGGTAATACCTGTAACTGAATGAATAGCGATTCAATTTATGGCCAGTGCTATTCAGTAGGTAAAACCAGAAGATTCAAAGAGATCCTTTCTAGACTTCAGTCTAGGAACCTATGCTGTGACCCTCCATTATTTTCTTCAGAGAACAGCACTCAATTCTTTTTCTGTTTTATTTGGGGAAAAAAAAGTATTCGAATTTTAGTGAAAGGCTGGAAATATATTTCTCTGTGGTTTAACGTGCAAACAATTTAATGACTGTTCCCAGAAGACAAGCTGTGGCACAGTCTTCATCCATCCCTTAAAAAAAAAAATGAAACACAAGGTTAAAATTTACTCATCTGCTCTTGAGTAAAATATTCACCAAAAAAAAAGTTGTCAAAACAGCCAGAGAATTTCTTTATGATATTGTTGTTTATGGTTCTTATCAATGAGAAGGCAGCTTTTTTTTTTCTGCTGAAAAGCTTATTTTTAAACAGATCTAAACTATCAGAAGAGTCAGGGCCCAATTTGGTAACAAGCTGTGAAACATCAAGGGTTCTTTTAATGAAGAATTTACTCTGGAAAAATGTTGGTCACAAGACATGGGTAAATGTTTCCATGAGTACTAAAACTCCCAGGCTCCTGCACTGACTTACATTCAAATGTGAATCCACACAGAATTGGCTTACCAACTGGAAGAAGAGGCCCTTGACTCAAAATAGCCAGTTGGGACGTTAGTGCAAAATGCTCAGAAACAAAGTTGTGCCCATGAAGATTCATGAGGCTTGATTTAAAGTTTTCTCTAGTTGACAGATACTATTTATAACTTGGATTATTAAAATGAGGTGCATTACATCATACTAAATATCATGACAAATATATCATATGCATCAAGGGCGAAATCCTGAATCACATTGCAGTCAATGGCAAAACTCTCACTGATTTCCACAGGGCCAGGTTTTTATTCTGAATATCTAGCTGATTAAGAAAAATCACACCAGTGGAGTGTTATACACCAGTGGAGTGTCTGAATGGCAATGCTTTGTCTGTAAAAAAAAAAAAAAAAAATTACCTGTACTAACTGTTTAGGGTAAAATATTGAAATACAATTATATGATCTGCTTGGCCTTTATAGAGCAATTAATATTTTCCAAGAACTGCATGGGTATTAAGGTTGAATATATGAATACTGGATATGTATTATGTATACCTGGGCAAATAGTAGAAGAAATGTCTGAATGTTCTTCAACTTCTTCAAACAGAATTACTCAAATAAGCTCATGGGTTTGTATCCGGATGATCCAAATGTGAATATTTTTCTTTCTGAATGATGCAATATGGTTCCAGAATTTGGCTGCAATGAATACAATAGGATTTTTTTATCACTTGCCAGACATAGGAAAGAACCTGTAATTCTCTCCGTCTTTCTTGCTCCTCTACTAATTGAACTCAGCTTTGAGGACTAGCATCACTCTCTGGTCTTAATGCAGTCATGGGATGGACTGCTGCCTTTAGTACAGTCTCCACTGTGCAATGTGAATCTAATGTGAGGATTGAATTGTTTTCAGAAAGGTCTGAATGGTCCAAATGATCTGAATGGTTCAGCCTCATGCCTATTTTAAATAGACAGAAAATTATCGGGTCTTTATGCCAGCATTTGAGTGTAGACTCAAAGTATTTGAGACTTTGAATAAAGTCTGACATATTCTTCCAGTTTTGTAGAGATCATACTCTGGTTGCCAAAAACCCACAGGCAGAAGAAAGAGCTAACAGCTGGACAAGCACTCAATCTGATTTGTCTACAGGCATGCAATCCTGGCCCTTCCAAATGCGCTGGAGCATCTTTAGTGACCATATATGATCTGGAGCTCTGTTCTGTCCTTCAGTGAAATACAGGGACATTATAAAAAGTGAAAATACTTCCATGATTAAAAAGTATCAATATTTTTGTAAAAAAAAAATTGTGGCAAAATCCTGGGTTTCACTCACTGAATTTCTTTTTGACTCCAAAAGGATAAATAGAATGAAAAAATTGTCTCTTGTTTTGGCCAGCTTCAATCCGAATGGGTACCTTTCCATAGTACAATATTATCTGAATGCCACACTAGGGCATGAATTGAACATGAAGAGAGAGAAGAGTGCATACATGTTATCAGGACCTGAAGTACTTGGACCTTAGATTTTCACT